AGCGATTTGGCAAACTTGCCTGTAAACGTTTCTGCCTTGGCTGATTTTTTTTTTTATGATTTGATTTCTTAAATAAATTGTTTCCCACCTGTCTTTGCCAGGTGAGAATGCTGAATCCTTTTGCATCACTTATCAACTGCCATTGCTTATTTTTTTATCTCAGAATAAAATGATTATGCACAGAACTCTTCAGAAAAATCAAGTTGAAAAATTATACACGATCCTTATTTAAAACAGATCAACTATTAAAAAGTAAAAACAGCCTAGATATGATGATGCCCTGCATGATACAAGGAGAAAAATGATTATAGGGATATTATAACAAATGTTCGGATGACAAAGGGATGACAAAAGCCAAGTTTAATCAGAAGCAGCTATCAGTAATTCGCAGTTACTCCTGATATCATTTCCTCACCTAAAATATTATAAATACTGTACATTATCCCTTTCTCAGCCTCACATGTCTTCTTGCATCCCACCTCCACCCTATGTCCACCTCTGCAACTGTCCCTTGGTCACTCCTTACTCCTAATGGGGGTCCCAGTTGCCTCGTCCTGTAGACAGGAGGTTAGCTGTCATGATCGTCATTCCTCCTCTTAAGGTCCGGCCCTTTCGTATTTTAGTTCATTAAGTGGACCTGCCCCCTGTTTAGTTTTCCATTATTTAAGTCTGGCGGTCCCGCTTTCTCAGGCTCATCATTGGAAGATGGATGCCCGCCTACTACCTACCCGCTTACCCACCGGTATAGGAGAGACCCGACGGCATGGGCTTCATCGAGGCGTCCTGACCGTCTGAGTCTGGGGCTGGAGCGCCTGGCCTCGTTACCCTGTTTTTACTCCTTGTTACTGTTCCGGATCACGTTCCGGATTTTAACTTTGTCTGTCTTGGATGGATCCCCTGGTTCCTGGACTCTGGACTGCTTCTGGATTTCCCCCTTTGGACTGTCTGGGTTGTTTGCCTTTGCCACGCTCCCCCGAGCACCAGATCACCGCCGTCGCGCCCCTGTCTGTCAACCCTTTCTGATCCTCTTAGTCTTTTCCCTGTTGTCCTTCTCCACTAACTTCCGGATTATACCGTCTGCATAGGGTCCTGAACTATGCTTCACGGGGGTCTGGACCAGCTCCCGTTACAGTAGCCCTCAGCCAAGCGGGTTAAGACATATTTAATCTTGACTAAAACACACCTTTCAGTACATTTAATTCTTGGGTGTTATTCCTAGTGAAATATAGACGAATGTGTTTATTTGTAAAGCACTCTTGTAAAGAAGCTTACGGAAGGAATCCATTAGATGCCTAAGTTCACACTGTCCTCTGTGCGAAGCACTTTAAACAGAAATTACTGAGATGATCAGGCTGATAAAAGCATACAATAAGTAAAACAATTTTATAATTGTTTCTAGGCAGTTTAAGAATAATATTTTAATTAGAGGCTACAGACAAAGTGTGAGCTAGAGCTCGAAGTAGAATCAGGGCTGAATGTGCTTTTCACACAAAGTATAAAAGGGCTTACCAGGTGACATGATGAATGCCCCATATAATATAAGCCTGGCTTTTTTGTTCTTGGCAGGAGATACACTTTGGCAGTGTTTGATGACAATCTATGTGTTTGATATGTATGGCCCTTGAATTGTTTTCATTCCAAACAAAGCCCGCTGATGCCTCCTGAGGTATTTCATACGCTGGAAACAAAATGTTTCTCCTGGTGTCTTCCTTGGTTCCATAAGAACAAAGCTGTCAGAAGATGAAGTCACCAATTGCATACAGCAGATGTTAGTTCACCCCTCTGCTTATTTCAGGATGGGCTGTGGGGCATGGGACAGACTAAAGGATGGAAATATTGTTACAATTTCTGAGTTATCAGAGAAGCCTGCCGCGAAGCAGAATCTTCCTGACATGGTTCCATCCTACATCCTCAATTTGGAGACCAGACATCATGTTAAGACCACAGTGACATGAGAATGGAGATGTAGGTGCCGACTGGCAGAACTCCAAGGCCCTGACACCATTTACTTATCAAGGGTATACTTGGAAGTCAGGAGACGGAAAGGCTAATACATTTGTTTGTATGTTAAGATAAATTTGAAGTCTGTTATTGATGCAGTGTTTAACTCTAGACAAGGACTGCAAAACAGGAAGTAACAGAAGGAGCTGAAAGACAATTTAACTGCAATTTTCTCATCCACCTGACCCTCCCATACTACTCAAAAAACAATCCCTATATGCAAGACACAGATATCTCCTCATAAGTGTTCTTTCACAGCTGCCACACAGAGCTATAGCACTGATTATTTGGGAGCTCTCTTGAATATTTTAGTATATTGAGTCCTACGTTCATTAGGTTGAGTTTCATTGTATTTAGAAATATGCAGGAGCAGCAGTTCTCAGTTTCTCTAACTATATTTTGCTTTCACATTATTTTTCTTGCAGTAAACTGTACAATCTATAATTCAGACCTCCACGCTTGTTAAGTTCTATTACCAATAAAAAACAGTGAAAAGACTAATGTAATGAAATAATGATTTTCGCTTGAAATGTCTTATAGTATTTTTAATCGATACTTTTTTTCATAGTCATAGCATTAAAAATGATTACAAATCAGATGAGGTTTGCTCTCTGTCTTCTTCTGACAGGCTGCCCCATATCAGAGAGAGAAATCTGTGATCTGAAAATTGTGAAAACCAGAAGGTTCCTGGCTCAAGTTCCAGCATTTGTGCAGACTCCTTGCAATTTACTCAAAGTTATTGAACCCTCTTGTACACATTTTAGATGAGGTGTCTATTTTAAGTAACCTTGGAGCTTTAGCTGTTTGGACAGTTTATCCCTGAGGCTCTGTGAAGTTAGTTTTTGATAGGAGTATTACCCAAATAGACGACAAAGAAAAACAACAGCCTCGGATTGAACAGAGCACACTCTTCACTGGAAATTTCCCAGAGCTTTCCAGAATTGCAGAACTAAGATAAAAAATCAATCCGATAGCTGTATTTGGGCCAGAAGGACATATCCATTCTGGCGTGGGCTATGTAACGCATGGTGGTTAAAAATTTAGGCAAAAGTAGATTAGATGTCACCATGGAATTAATCTGGCTGTGGAGAATTAAGCAGGCAAAGCTTAATTAACACATGTTGAGTAAAGACATCTGGCATCATATTGCTGCTCGTCCACAGAACAACTTACAGTGTGTAATGTTCACAGTACAGAGAGAAGGTGGGTTTAACAGCTCATCTGGGAAAGGTGAAAAAGAGTCCTTTCACAAAATACAGGGACACCTGCTGGTGAAAGATGACACTAGTACCCAGCTGGCTGTGAAGGTCTCAGTAGCTGCAGTGAAAGGGAGCCAGCTGTGTACACTGCTCGTCTGGCATGCGTTCAATACAGCACATTAACCATTACTGTGCTGATAACCCTTCTTAGCACAACACTGTGTTACATCATTCTTGCCCCCAGAAGAGGCCATTTTAGCTCTTAAACACCACACTTTTTGTTGTTCATTTGTTATCTTGCACTTCAAATGTTTTTTTTTAATTCTGACCTGTGCAAGTGCATGATATCGGTATCATATCATATTGCATAGTTCAAAGGATATTAAGGACCCAGTGTCAATGTGCCAGGTTTTAAAATGTCTTTCTTGAAATAAGTATGAATTTTTTCATAAGCAAGCCAGCAAGCCAATGAGGAGTAAGGACAATCATCCACATACCTTCAGTCTCTTCGTTTGAAGTGACTCAGATGAGAATCTAGCCACAGAGAAACCATTTAACCTTACAAATGAACGCAGGAAACCTTTTTTTATGGAGCGAGCTTATTGCCCGAGGCGATATCAATGACGGAGACTGTGGAGCCCTGAGTGGAGACAATCCACATGAAGAGTTAAGTCTTTCAGCACAGGGGCAACAAATAGATAAGGAATCTTGTGTGAGGTTAAGGTTACAAGTTTAATGAAATTCCCAAAATGGTCAAAGGAGGCTGAATCACATGTCTACCATAATTTATAAAGAAGCAACTGTTGCAATGTCTTATCATATCTCACACAGTATAGTAATAAAGAGTAAAAACTAGTTGTTTTTTTAGGTAGGACCAGAATGACAGATGAGGAATAAGGAAGTGTTGAGGGCTAATTCCATAACCCTTGAATGCTGTCACCCCTGTTATGACCTGGGTTTTTGAAGCAGGGTCGGGTGCTGTATAAAGGGGAATTACTTTTATAGTCTTACCTAGCTCTCTGTGCCCACACCATAAAGTGCGGTCCAGTCTGTTTACCTTTCAATGCAGGCTGTGGATGATTTTTCAATTTTCAAATTTTCAATGGACAATGAGCTGCTGTTAATAAGGTTATGCACTGGTTCTTCCACTGAAAGGGTGAAGCACGTCTACAGGACGCCGTGGCTGCATATTCCTTACCTTACCAAGTGGGAAGATTGGCACTGTAAGATATTTTGCAAAAGTCTGAATTCCAAGCCGCCCTTAAAATGTTTTTCGACTTGTTAGCTGCTTTTTATACCATTTTGAATATGAGAAATATGAGCGGACAAACACGCAGATTGTTCGCTGTAAAATAGTTAATTGCAAAAGCCTAGAAAACGGCTACATCCTTGCGAATTTAAAGTTTTATTTTATAAATAAGAAATACCATTTGGCTGCACTGTTGGATTTCGCTCATACAGTAAATTCCCGTTTATGTTAACGCCATTAGTTCCATTTTTTCTTTTTTTCATGCAAGTGAAGTGAAGCAATTTTAACATAAACGTATTTGTTTTAAGTTGTATTGGCTATATATTGTGTGAATAAAAAATGTGGCAAGACATATAAATGTATTTGGGTTAAAAATGGTAGCGCTTAAGCCCGTAAGTCCTCAGTGTGGCCGCAGTCATCACTAATGTCTAATGAGGGTGTTGTTCTTGTTTCGCATTGGAACGCTGCAGCTTTAAATTAGTCGCAATATTTGTACTGAAGTGCTAGGAAGCCCGTTGGCTGTGAGGCGGTCTCCCTGCTGCAGGCGGCGTGCTGACTGATCTCACCAACAGGGGCTTCTGTGTAAACTGAGGCTAAACAAATACAGATGGATCTCCGAGCGCATTCACTAAAAATGCTGGCAATGCGGCAGGGACTTCAGATGACACTCTGAATCCACAGGAGTCACACGCATGTATGCACTCTGCAGAAGATTCGCGCATTTAAAAGCGTTACTATTACAGGGCGCGTAGCTTCCACAGTTGAACCTTGTAGGTATTTTTTGCCTCAAATTGCAGGATTGTTATTCTTGTTAGATCCCCTGTACCTATTTTTTTTTTCTTTTTTGAGGTGGGAAAATGAAGAACCCACAACTTCTAGGTGAGGGCAACTGGAAGAGTCTTTATGGGAAGGAAATACATGGGATGAAAAAATTTAAACGGAAAAGCAGGGATGCAGTGAAGCATATTAATGGAATTAAAAGTTTCAAACAGGACCCCAAGATGAGTGAGCACTTGTTAGGTGACTTGACTGGGAGAAACTCTAATGAGGAATCGCTGCAGGAGAGAGCTACTGGAGCTTCCAAATGTTTGGATCACGTCGTTCACCTAAGAAGAAACTCGAACACAGCTATTGACATGAGGACTACAGCACTGCCTGTATTAACAGGGCAGCACGCTCCGCCACAGTCACCGGCTCCTATAGGTAAAGACACATTTGGTACAAGATCAACGCCGGTCACCGGCTATGACCATCAGCAGTCATTTTCCCAAGAACAGGCACTTCAGTCAAGAATACTTTTGTGTCAGCATCCCTCTGAAAGCTCCTACACCTCAGTCTCACAGTCACCGTACAGAAATAATAATAGCGACCCCACTGCATCGCCTAGGAAACGGTTGGGTGAAACTTCTGGCGTCGTCACCGAGATCAAAGCCATTCAGCAGACAAGGAGGCTGCTAGCAAATGCCAGGGAAAGGACCCGAGTGCATACCATCAGTGCCGCTTTTGAGGCGCTGAGGAAGCAGGTATTTCCCAATTCCATTGCTTGCTGTCCAGCTGGGGTTTTCATCATACTTAAATTTAAGAATGAATTGACTGTCATCTGTTTCAGGGGCCATACTAATGTTAATCTTTTTACATAACGATTTCATTTACAGTACCTGGAGCGTCTGGTCTTCCGAAGTTAGCACCGGGACAACGGCATACAATTATGAAGCACTATGTTGTTTGAACAAAATGCATTTGTATTTCAGTGAATAGTAGGGTTTTTTTAATCGATATGACTTTCGCTACTTTATTCAGATTTACTATAAATCGTTTGTTGAAAAACAACAGAAATGTGCTCCACTGTTTTGTATAATGTTCGTGTAAAAGTATGTAAACTTTAAATATGATCTGAAAAATATTATATAGTCTTGTCCTTTTGTCTAGCCAGATTGTAGTAGTATCAGGGAAAGTTCTACTTTACCTTTTTCCATAAAGAAAACCGAGATACAAAATGCTTTCAGTGTGAACGCATCATGAACATGTTATTGTCTACATAATTCTATATGCATATTATTCATATTTCGTTACGCTATTACTCACGTTGAAGTGATGCAGTTTGACAATATGCTTACATAACTTTCAGTGCTGGCAAAAAACAAGGAATCATTTTTCTTCTAACAGCACCGATATCTACTGATTAAATGCCATGCTGTAAAATCTAAACTCATACTATGTGGAACATCTTGGAATTTAGCCACCTGTATTTCTAAACCTTTCAAGACCTTTCTGGAAAATTGCTCAGAAAAAGTTATAGGATAGTGAAGTCTCCATATGATTCCAAACAGCCATTCTTGAGCCAACCCACCAGTATCCCTGAGGAGCCTTAAAATATTTGAATTCCCAATGCAAAAATAAGGTCAGCAAATTACAACATGAAAAATTCCAGCAACACTGAATCTTTTGTGCTTTAAGCCTGTCACAGACAACAAATGAATGGCAATTACATCTTTTTTTTTCTTACTGAAAATGCAATTATTGAGAAAAGTTAATGCAAAAAGCATAATTCAAATGAAAGTTTTACCACTATTTATGATTTAAGGAAAATACTTTTTTTTTCCCTTTAGGCAGTTAGTTAAGCAACATTTAAATCCCTTCTTCATTTACTCAACATTCATTTTTACTGTTATAGACATTTCATATTTTTATAGGCTATTAAATTGCACAAGGAGGGACTTATGGCAATTCTGTTAATCTTCAAGCTTGCTAGTGGCACTGAGAAATAACAAAATAAAAGGTTGAATTTAACAGTCTACGTGCAGTTTTATGCAAAATTCTTGTATAGTTTGTAATCATTGCATTTTGAAGACTAGGTGGTCATCTTTCACGTAATGACTTTAGTATAAAGTCAGTTTAATTGAATAGGTCCCTTGGTGACAAAATAAAGTGTGGATTTGCAGTCGCCCCCAAACCACCACAGAGTCAACCAAGGCAGAGTCTGTTAGAGCTGAGCCATGTCGTCCATACCCGAACATTGTAGATATATCTGACTTTTTTCTTCTGAGTCTGCTGGAAACCAAGAAGACTCTTGGAAGAAGAAGGTGGAACGGCCTTGGGCAGATGTGGGCACTAGCTAATGAAGAGAACTGTTGGCGTTTAGACTCTAGCAACACTGCCTTCGAGGGCTGCTTTCCAGTGGTTTCAGATGACTTTCTATTGCTTGTTTCTGTATGGAGAATAAGGAGAACAAATCCCCCAGCCCACACAGTGTAGTGATAGATGAGGCTTCTCTCTTAGCCAGTGGGAGTTTGGACTGTGTCTGTTTGGGTGGTTGGGGAAAGTATTCAGCCCATACTGATTTACAGCGTTTTTGCACAAATGTAAAACAGCACAGTTTTATTTAACCAAAACTGTGAATTCAGTTCCATGCAGTTTTTTTTTTTAATTCTTCAGGAAAGTACTGTATCTACTAGGCCTACAGTATAATTCAGAAAAAATCCAGATTTGATTATGAAGTCTTATTGTTCATTGTTTATACATGTATGTTATCTGCCGTTTAACCATTTTAACTATAACAGCAACTTTCTTTATTATCATGGGTACACCCTAGCCTTACAGATGGATATTTAAAAGCACTGCAGGTTAACTCAGATGTTACCCTTGTTATGGGTATGTTCACTCCTGTGAACAGCTTTGTCAGCTTTGATGAAAAGGAAGTGTAACTGGTAGTGATACAAAGCTCATGTGACAAGGCATGTAAGGAAAAGAGGCTCACTGCTGGTGTCGCAACCTGGTTGGTGTATTTTCCTTTCTCTCGGCCAGTATTCTTTGACTTCTTTCCTGAAAGAATAAAAAAAAAATTGCTACTTTTCAGATGATGCTGAAGACGGCAAAAAGATCTAAAGCTGTAAACACACGAGTCAGTGTTTTTCTCCTAATGTCTTATCATTTACTTTCTTTCTTCCAGGTGCCCTGCTATTCCTATGGACAGAAGTTGTCTAAACTGGCCATACTGAGAATTGCTTGCAATTATATTCTTTCTTTGGCCCAGCTGGCTGACCTAGATTACACCTCCGATCACAGCAACATGAGCTTTTCTGAATGTGTGGAGCAGTGCACTCGGACGCTGCAGGCTGAGGGCAGGTCAAAGAAAAGAAAGGTAAGGATGTAGCGAGACGAAGGCATGCGAAATACAGCACTTATTATTACACACTGTTGGCATGGAACTATAACTCAATATCATAACTTGAGGCTGAGATATAAGGAGCAGGGCAAGAGTAGATAGAGCAAAAATAAACCCTGATGTTGCCAGTCGTGTGGAGCAGTATTCTGGTCTCTGGGCAACAGACAGGAGAGCCATGGATTCTGAGCTGGGATGTTGCCATTATACCCTTGAGAAAGGTAATTCACTCCAATTGCTCCAGTAAATGTCCAGCTGTATGCACGGGTATTATTAATAATATTTATTCATTTGCCTGTTGCTTTTACCCAAAGCAACACTTTGTACATATGTACTGCAAGCATGAATACAGCTAGAGCCATCTCCAAGTCCATATTATAAAGAAGAATGTGCATCCGGCTGGCTTGCATAATTAAATAAGAGTGTTATTTTTTTATCTTGTGTTATCTACCAGTCTTCATTCCTCTTTGTTAACATCTGTTCATACAGCAGTGAAAGAAACGCTGAACTTGAGTTTGTTAAGTCATGAATGTAAAGCATGAAATGTACAGTATACGGCATACTTCTTAAAACACCATTTTGAATTTTGTTGTTAGCAGGGCCCTTCAGTTAAAATCAAAAGCTTATGGCTTCAGCATTTTCTGACTTATTATAGCAAAAGCTTATTTTCTTCAAGGAGCCCTGAACGGTTTGTGTATTTGTAAATTCTTGCAGGAAATATTCAGCTATGGATACAATATGTCGGCAATTATGTTGTATTTCAGTAGCAGCTTTTTGAAGTCGAAAAAATATTTTTTTTATCACTCTGATCTGACACAACATAGTCACCTTTACAGCTGTGACTGTAAATGGCTTTCTCTGAGAACAGTGGCACTGGGAATTCCAAGGAATGCACTCTGTCTAATTAACAAATGCATTCGTTTACATTGCTTAACAAAGATCCAATTAAATTAAATCATCATCAAGTGGTATTTGAAAGGAAACTCAGTGTTCCGCCAGCTTTCCTCCAGAAAATAAAGAAAACATGAGGCATGGGTGAATAAAGGAGGTGATTGATGCCTTTGTGCAGAGTTTTATGACAATGGGAGTTTTGTAAACTTGAACTGAACTTCCCTCAGCATTCTCCTGGATCCAGATGTCAGGGTTTACCATAAATCAGCAGGATTTTTAATGCATGAATAAGACTCAGGCTGGGAGACATTTTATTTTTACATTAACGCTTTAACTAGCATCAGCTACTGCTGTTGCTTGCTTTTCTGCAGTCTGGCCACTAAAATGAGTGATTTTGGAATTCAGATTTCAAAACGTTTCCTGAACAGTCTTTGTTGACAAATAAAAATACTGAGTCAAACCTCAAAGCTGATTACAAACAGTAGCCTGAATCCAAGTCATTCTGTGTTGTAGTTAAGTTCATGTTCAGACTTCTTACAGCATTCAGTTTACACAGGTATCACGAGTTATCCGGCACGTTTCAAGTTTAATTTAAAGATCAGTTTGCTCCTATCTCATTTATGCAGTTTTATATTTAACATATATATTACAATCCATTGTGTTGTGACACGAGGTAAAAAATATGTTTTTCCACCTCATACCTCACCCAGAAAACCCAGAGTATCTTATAAATTCTATGGAAAATGACGCTTCTCACTCTTCTTATGGACCTCAGTTCTATAATTAGGGTTTCAGGAATGTCCTATGCAGTATGTGGCCAGCCTGGCAAGAGATCATTACTTGTGAGATGTATATTTAAAAAATCCAAATTTAAAATGTTAAACTAATAAATAGTGTTACTTATAGGATTAAAAGATTATAAATGAGACTTGCTTTACTCCACAGTTAACACAAGCAAGGCAAGTGTCATGGGTGCAGGACATTTTCTCAGTTGTACAATATTTGCTCCTCTGAAAGACATGGATTCAATTACTGATGTGATCTTTTAACAGAACATGGAGAGTAAGAGATCCAACTGAAAATAACTGCATGTTGTAACATGCGCCAGCTGTTGGATATATTCATAAGAAATTGACTCGTTTTGGGTATGTTGTTTGTTTGTAATCAGTTGCTGTGATGTCACTTCATGACACATTTTGATATGTTATAGTAGCAGGGATAAAGAATTCTGGTTCTTACTAAGTCCAGATGTTTGCTGTTTGCAAGGGCTGATTAGTAATGTTTTAATTGTTCTTGTCCCTGCTACTTGTTCACTATTAGAATTATTAAGGTTAATAATAAAAGAAGTTACTATATTTTTTCCATGAACAACAAATGTTTTTAAAACAGAGATGGATGATAAAATACTTTATTACTAAATCATTTCAACTGAGGAATGCTTGATTTTTTTTTTGGACAACAAACCATTTGTAAATTAAAAGGCTCTAGGGAAATATCCCTTTAGTTTTAGAAACTTAAGCCTTTAGAAAATAGGCACACTTGCCCATAAAACAGTATATACAGTAGTTGCTTTCAACAGGTTAAGTGAACAAGTGAATTAGACATTTTAGTTTTACTGAGGTGATCTAAAACTAGTGCTGATTGGAAGGCAGGTAAAGTCACCAACGTGAGATCATACAGTACCGAATTAAATATTTTGCAAGATTTGTCCTGTGAATTCATCACAAATTTTGAGATACACACATTAACCTTTATTAGAAGAAATTGTAAGCAAATCATAATCCTCCTAAAAAATTTAGTGAGGCTAACTGGCTATCTGGAATTTCACAAATTTCCCTTCCACCTGTTTAGAATGATTTTATTGATTTTGATTGTCTTGGTATAAACAACCTTTTACTACATATAAAGCTTCCCTTGCCATGAAAATGTTATCCTTTCTATGATATTAAAGCAGATAACTAAGATTAGAAAGTTTACCCTTTGTTAAGTAGCACTTTTTTCTGAGTAGCACAGATGTTATATTTCACTTGCAAACATTGTGCCTTTGTATAACTCTAACATTTTAAGCAATGCCCTTCATTGAACCTCACTGAAGCTGCACTGAGTTCTGTGCGTTTGTTTTCTTCAGTTTTGCAGTCGTAACTGTGGTGGCAGGATGTTTCTTTTTCTTCCTGAAGATGTAACTCAGTATTGCGATTCTCTTTCTACGGCTACCAGTTCAAGGATCCAGATGTTTATATGACTGCTTTGGAAAAAAATTGTTAAATATTTGTCAGAATACTATTTGCTATTGTTTATTCTATTCAGTGTCAGTAGTAATGTAAGCTATTTCAGTAGGAGGCTAGCCCATCACATCTTTTTCTGGCAGCCTCCAAATCCAGATGTTCAGAATGCTAAATCTGGAAGGTATTTTTTATTACACGCACACATACCACACAAGCACGCGCGAGTGCGCACACACAGGGGTGTTACAAGTTACTTTGAGCCTAATATAGAGGATATATCTGGTGTACTTCTTTGTAGTGCATTGATTTAACTCGGTGATATTATTCTAAATTATTTTATTTCTTATACTGTATGTGCAGTATATACTGTATTGTCCCTTGCAGGTTACCTGTCCTGACATCATCGTTAAACAGCACTCATGAGTCTCTCTGTGTGTGTATTATACTATAGTGTTGTTCTTTAATGGCAAATGCTGTTCTTTTACTCATAGATGCGTACAACTGAAATGACAGTGCCCAAGGACACACCAGTGTTTTCTTTTAACCAAGAGAAATGGGTCCAACCCAACCCGCTCAATGAAAAACACACCCAAAATACGGCAAAATTAAATTTACCACAGAAGTCGCGAACAATTAACCAACAGGCATTTAAATTCAACACAAGTCCTTTTTAGGTAGTAAGAACTCATTTTATAGTCCCGCTATTGTGGGACTATAAATGTTGGTGTCAACCAATTTGCACTACTATACATTTAACAACAGCAGACGTGGGCGACAAAATATACTACCGAAGACTCCTGATCACAATCCGATATTTCTACCTGCGACCTAAATAAATGAGACTGTATATAAGCGTTAGTGCAAAATTCTTTTCGGTTTCTGCATATCTTGAATATGGAATTCCTCAATGTGTTGTTGTGTTCAATAGAATAATACATTTTTTTACTTCTACGTCTCAAAACCCACACTGTGTGTGATTTGCCATGATCTTTTGACACTTTCTTCGCGTTTTTGTGTTCTTTAGTTGTAATCCCTTTAAAGCGTGTTTTGCCAACTGTGCAATTGAGTCAGCTTGATGCATACTGTATATTTACTACTAGATATATATACGTTTCCACCGGTTTATTAACTAAAGCATATGTCTAACACCAAGCAGGTAGGATTTTGATTGCATTTAGAATAAAACGAATTGTCCAGAACATTTGTTTTTAAAAGCAAATCCCCGGTCACCGTACAATTATCTCTTTATTCCAGATTTAGCAACTGATTGTTTTTTAGTCAAACCAGTCAGACAAATAGAGGTATGTAAAGCTGTTTGTATACGCCATTTTGTATACTCGGCTGTACAAAAATAAACCGGTTCATGCTGACACATTTTGTACTCGGCAAATCTATTTTCGTTTAAACCTGGCAAGGACGGGTAGCAGTTGTTCAAAGTAATCCATACGGTTAGGTTTTTTTTCTGTGTTTATAAAACTGCTTTAAGCGTAATGTACCTTCACTGTATGTTTTGGCGTCTTTTTAAACCCCTTCAGTCGAGTTTGACTGTGTAAGCTAACCTAGTGTAAGCTCATTCAGTAGGAAACTAGCTGAGCCTTTTTTTCCCCCTTTTTTTCCTGGCAGTCCCAGACTCCAGATGTTCATAGCGCTAGTTGGGAAGTCCTGCTGGCGCCACTTAGGGCAGAGGGCAGCGTGAAGGCACGCGAGCTGGAACCCAAAGCACTCACTCACTGCAGGAATTGGCACATTCCCCAGCGCGGCGCTGGCACATTCCCCAGCTCTCCCCTGGCCATCTGTTCCAAAAAAACACTTTGAAATAAAAAACACTCATCATCACTCAGGATACAACACTGAGAGCAGCTGTTACAGAGGCGGGGGGGGGGTCATGAAAAAATCCCTTTGTTAGAGCGAGCCTGCAAGTCTGAGGGAACACTCGCAACGACGGGAGAAAACGGAAAAAAAAAGTCCGGGGCTCATTAAGAAGGTTTTGAATGAGCGTTTGTGGAGTTTAAAACTGATTCCCTTGCTTATTTCAAATTAATGATCTGCAGTGTTTGATGCATTATAAATGTATGTAGACCGCTGATTTATTATACCACTTTAGTTATGTCCATTTTTTTCTTCTTCTAAGAATAACGGACTGTAACAGCTGCAGGGAAAGCAGCTTGAAATTTAAAACGTTGCCGTATGTGTTAGTTCGGGAGATAGGGGAACTACGCCTAGAACTCATTCATGATCCTTCTGAATTGATTTAATGCTTGTTTCTAGCAATGTTGGGCTGAAGTTCTGCTTGATTATTCTTACCTACCTCGAATGCGTTCCTGCTGTTAACCAGATTTCATACTTGTGTTTTTTATTGTAGGTTTTTGCTGTTTTTCTAACAGTCATACGTTTCAAAGTAATCAAATGTTCTGTTATTCTTTAACATAAAATACATTTGTAATTAAAAAAAAAACATTAGGAGGTAGCAGGATAGTCCTTTGTATAGGCTCCATCAGATAACGGAAACTCTTTTTGCAGAGTCTGAAGCGAGTGATTACACCTTTCCACAATTTCTTCACTGTCTGAAAGTAAATCCCAAAACATGTCAGACTCTGCAAATGAAAGGATGGTGAAAGACCTTAAAAAATAGTTTGTTTCCAGAAGAAGTATGTTTGATGACATACAGTACATGGAATTTGCTGTGCTGTCTACCTAACAAAAGTCAGTATGAGTGGTTTAATACAACCAAATGATAGTTAAGTTAACTTACTGACATTTTGGTGAAGGTGAGTTTTTCTTGAGAAGTAAACTTATACCTTATTATTGACAGCATGATTACACGAAACAGCACTGCTGGTAGGATTAGCCATCGTTAGCAGAGTTGTTTCTCCTCCAGTTTGGTTCATCACAAGCCATCTGCTTTATGAATCCTAAAGACTGGGCGATAGGAACGAAAGAAAAGATAGTGCTCTGAAATGGATGACCTGGCTCGGTTCCTAGTCCACCTCCAAGCATGATCCAAACTGGGCATTGGTTATCCCGCTAAAAATATCTGCCATGAGCACATGGAGTTTTGTCTGCCTCAGTTCTGTATGAAGTGTCTTGATTCCAAGAAGCAGCTTTCTGTATGAACAAAAGCCCAGATCACTGTATGCTTTTCCATCACTCAATGATTTCATTGTTTTTTCCCAAAAGAATACCGAAGTAAGGGTTGTGCATTGGTGTGTTGCTACCTTGCACACTGGATTCAGTTCCTGAGGTGCTGTCTGTGTGGAGTATGCATGGTCTCCTCATGTTCCCATGGCTTTTGTCCAGGTGCTCCAGTTTTCTCCCATAGTCCGATGATTTACTGTTAGGTTAATTGGCTTTTGGGAACTCAGGTCCCAGTATGTGTGTCCTGCCTTGTGCTCAATGCTTGCCTGGATAGTCTCTGGCTCCTCTGTAACCCTGTACTGGATCAAGCAGTTAGAAGATGGATGGAATACTGAAGTAAATGTTTCATTTAATGACAGTGAGACTTGAGACTACAGTATATACAGTATGAGTAAATAGATGTCCACCATTGGAAAGAGCGCCTGTCTATGTCCTGTTTATTTTGAAAGTTTATACATAATTGGCAAAATTGGAATGGGTATAGCTGATTGGGGTGCCAATTTTACTTTGTACAGGAAAGCAGTGCACTTGCACATTGTATGGAAGCGATCAGCAGTTATCTCTGTGGAAGTGAAGCTCATCCTGGCACCTGAACTGTGTGAGAGAATCCTTGTAAGTGAGTAAGATGGGATGATTTTACAAGGATCTGAAAGGGACAGGCCACAGGCTGTAGGTCCCTGTTTGGTCACTGGCCAGACAATGACGTATTTGCAAAGCACTGACATTCCTGCCATCTTTGCATTAAACAAACAGTGTGAGCTAGGGCACCATCTTCCAAATAAATACATTCATAGGGACTGATGAACCCAGTATGGAAAATAAGATGAGACATTTCGAGAGTAATAGTTCAGGTATACAGTGTGTATAATTAAGGTCAGAAGCTAGTTTCATACCATTATGTAGATTGGACTTTTGCAAATTTAGAATGAACTGTTGCAGTTTTAAAATTAAAATTAAATCTATATTTTAATGTTGTATCATCACTAGCGCTGCTAGAGATGCTAGAGATGAGAAATAAAAATGTGGGATAGATTTCAGAGCAAATTATACCATGGAAAACAGGTAACGTCCACAGTTCCAAATGTTTCTTTTAAGGAACATAAAAAAGGAAATTTAATAAATAATTTTAAATCCATTTTGTTTCTTTTCCTGTGCCATTACGTATTAATGTTTTGATTATTTTGGGGTATTTGTTTCTTTTGAACCTCAAAGCTTTGGTGAGTGTGTAGTAGCTGAAGTATAAAGGGCCAGAAATTTAATTGAAACCACCCCTTCTTTCCTTTGTATTTGAAATGAAAAAAGAAAAAAAACACAGCATTTTGCCCATGGCCACTCCATGTGTCAGTGCGGATTACCTATAAACCACAGGAGCTTCCAAAATGTATCCTTATTCTAAAAACGTAAAAGCGAAAACTATGCAGAAAGTTCTCAATTGTCTCCACTAAAAAGCTTTGTACTTTGCTGTGAATGTTATTCTCATAAGCTTAGAAATAACTGTGCAGTACCTGAACTTTAATCAGTTATGAAATCATTATACTGTTATTATATGTTGTGTATACTGTATATACAGGTAAATCACTGTATTTTATAATGGTATTAAATGATCGACATCCAGTTAATGCACATCAGATGTTACTTGGCAGGTTGTCTGTGATCAGCTGTCATCAGTTAGGAAGAAATGTAGCGGTGCCTTCTCCAGAACAAAGAGGCTGTGATCATACAGAAGGATGAAAAATGGTCGGAAAGACTTGAGAGCCCCAGTACTGTAAATACTGCAACCATTGAGCAAGATGAGCATATTACTCACTGTTCCTGCCGGGGCTATTACAAGCAACCTGGAGATTACTCCATATTCTTTTGCACTTGAAACCTTTTGCACACTGATGGTTTGCAACATCCTGCTTCTCCGAATGTCCCTAGTGAAAATAGTGAAATCATTTTTCCCGTCTTCACCTGGTCTGTCGTGTAAGTGGGGCTGCTGGTGCATAGTGGTTTCTGTGTGTCACCCAGGTGGATGCAGCACTTCAGTGGTGGATGAAGTGGGCAGCCTCCTTTATGTAAAATCCTCTGGGATGACAAGCTCTTTAAAAAGGCATCCTGTCTACAGTTTCTATGAGATAGAATTGGTCTTCACTCAGAGTAACTACGGCTCACATACTGTATGTCCTGCAATATGGTTAAAGTGAACCGCTGACCAAGGACACATGAAACTGCCCAATCATTACGTTTATATAGTACTTTAGTGTGATGTGCACGATGGAAAAAGTCGCAGGATGGCAAAGCAAAATGAAGCAAGTTTTAATAGCAAAAAAAAACAATAGCCTTTGAGACACTGTCTCTTTAAAGATCATAATAAGAGAAAATCCTAAAAATGAATGAATCCGCAAATGAATTTCAAACCAATGCTTGAAGGAGAAATTATTTCTCCTTAAGTAATAAAGCAAGCATCCTCAGCCCTCTTTCAAATCATAAACTTCCCTGAGTTACATCAAACTGTCAGTAGACTGAATAAAAACATATTTATAAGATTCCCTGATTTAATACAGAGGGAAGAGTTAAGAACAGAAGATAGAGGTTTAATTGTTGGGTTTCATAATGTTAACTCCATTGAAAGTTAAACATAAAGTTCTTCTGTTCCGATTTTTAACAGTTGTTTCTGTTCATTGTGTGATATTTGTGTGTTTATGTTTTGAATTGTAGGAATAGCACGAAGGAAGAGCTCAAGTCTTCAGAACACCAGACAGCATGTTGAGTCCCAGCCACCCAGGCAAACATCTGTTTATGAATAACTACGAAAGACTTCATTTTGAATTTACACAAGACATCAACGTGCATGGACATTCACAGACTGAAAGGCTGCTCACTGTGATAAACACAGTCAGAATGGCTTCGGAAAGACAGCTCTTTTGGCAAATCTGAGGTGTCTAGAATGTGCAATTTCTAAAGCACTTATATATGTATTTTTTCTTTTTCTGCTTGGCTCAAGAAAACATTACCTAACTACTTCTGGCGGTCCTGTCAAAGATATTTTTATTACTTATGGCAGTCATTGATCCATGTTCTGTTTCATCAAACAATGCAATATTTTTATTATATAAAATATATAAAGGAAATATTATTTTTAGAAACAGAGCACGTTTACAGCTTAAAAACATTAAAACTTTTCTTGCAATGAATGAACAGTATCTTAGCTATCTTGTCTGCTTCTAAACTTTTAGATTTATGTTATTTATTTGTAGGTGGTCAAGATTGAAATTCTTTCCTTTTTTTCAGTGTACACTATACAAACCAATAAAAAAATTGTCAAACTGGCATGGGTTTCAGCATTAAAAATGAGTGTGGTTATTGTCCATTCCATGTAATAGTAAAATAGACTAAAAATAATCATTTTAAATCTGCTATAGGATTTCTTGTTTTTAACCAAATGACATACAGTATGACAAATTAACCAAATTGTATATTTTTCACACTATACCCACCCAAATACTTCTAGTATTTGACATTGCTTAAAGTGTGTTCACATCTTGGCTAACAGCAATGATACTCAGAGCCACATGTGTTATGATTGAAACTAATAACCAGCTTCCATTGAGCCGTGTGTTTTTTAAGAACAGAAGAAAGATTACAAACAAAAGGTGACCATTTTGCTTATCAAGCTCATTGGTTCCAGCACTTCATCCATATATTTCAGAGGAGGCAGGATATCGACTTCCACAACATTCCACAACTTTCTTTCCACTTTCAGTGTTGGAACGGTATGTTGAACAAGCTGGATATCCTGTGTCCCAGTTGTTTGCCAAGTGCTCCAGGTGAGAGAAAGGTGTATCCTAGTTAAGAGCAGTGGAAGGTAAAAAAACAAATTATGATTTCAGAGGTGGTGAAAAAATAGGGAAATAAAAGCAAAGTTGATATGGATAAGTAGATTTGTTTGGAAGGCGGATGGGGGGGGGGGGCATGGGGTCAGTAAGTTGTTGACGGATCAAATATCAAATGGAAAATAAAACATAAATAAAAACTCACACTTTCAAGGGTGTTCTTCACTGAATACAAGGGGAAAGAACACAAAGGAGCCAAACAAACATACATAAACAGGAAGGAATCAGGCTAGTTAGAGGCCTCTATAATACCATCTGCTCAGAGTCCAAGAAGGCCAGAAGAGACTTGCAGACTTTCTTTTGTCTCTGTGTAATGGCAGCACTGGGTTACTAATTGCAGTGAGATCATGACATGCAAGTACATTCTCCTGCATGTCACTCAGTCAGTTAACAGTCCCAGGCGGACACCAGCTCATAAAAGCAGCAGGGAGGAATATATTGTCCCCTTATCATAACGTGTATTTTGGATAAGATGGTACTGGACAGAGATGTTGGGCATCTTTTTATTTTCCTTCTTTCAGGGGAAGAGGAATAGATACAGTTATGAGCAGTTTTCCTCCTCAAGCAAAATTCCCCAGGGGGCCTATCAGATGGTGCTGTTGACAAGAGGAATTTGACTATATCTTGGTTAGAAGCCAGACCGACAATTGCCCTAACATTGCCGAATGTTGTGGGACTGCGATATTGCCGTGCATTGTTAGCATTCCCACACCCTAAAGTAATAATGCTTTCTTGTATGCTAAATGAGGACAACAGCTTTAGTAACAGCAAAACACAGGAAATGTCTTGATGCTCCTTGATGACTCTAAAACATTTAACTAATTACCACTGGGATCCTCAGAAATATGACTGTATTAAAGAAACAGTATGCAGAGATGGAACTGGAGTAGAAGTATGATTATCCTTGTACGCTAACTTTACAACTTATTCAGGTAAAAAGCAACATTACTTTTGTAAGTGTACATACAAAATGTTTCCACTACAATAAGCAGAACTCTCACCCCAAAAATCATATATGTAATTTTTTTTTTTTAAAGTGCCATTCTAAATTTCTGTTTGGCATTTGCTGCTTTGCATAATTAATTACTGTCTTTTCAGCTGCTCCTGATTTCAGCTGCAATCAGACTGCATCTTCCTACTGGTTTCTAGCAGGATAAGACAGACTTTTAAAATATAATTCTACCTGTAAAAGTGTGGACTAGGAGTAGCCCAGAAGTGCTGGATGCACATTTACATGTCAGAATAAACTGCACCAACAGTCAAGCTCACATAAATGTTGGTGCTCACATAAAAATAGGGCACCTTGAAAAAGTCTTCACCCCTTTCCAATGATGTGCCACTTTTTTGAATTATCAATGACGTTTTGGGTGACAGTGGCATGGTGGAAATGCTTTGCTGCTTCACGGTACCTGGGGCCTGGAGTTCAGCGCCTGGGGGTGCTGTCTGTGTGGAGTTTGTATGTTCTCTCAAAGTTCATATGGGTTTCCTCTAGGTGCTCCAGTATCCTCCCACAGTCCAAAGACATACTGTGGTGGGTTTATTGGTTTCTGGAAAAATTCGCCCTGGTGTGTGTGTGTTTGTACAGTATCTGTGTGTCTGCCCTTTGATGGACTGGCATCCTGTCCAGGATGTATCCCGCCTTGCTCTTGCTGCTCGCTGTGATGGCTCCCCTGTGACCCTGTGTTGGATAAATTGGTAAGAAAATAGATGGAAGGGTATACATGTTTTTTTTAAGTGAACATTTTTAATTGAAACTTAAAAGCTGAAAATGAGCACTTGTATGGGTGACCAAAGTTAAATGTAAATTTCCCAGGGTGCAAAGCTGGTTGAACCTAAGCAAACAAAGACAACTGTAATCGCTGAAAGTTGGTGCTAGTAAGTACTCAATTATTTTGCGATTAACATATTTTTATTTTTTTTAATCTTTTTTTATTTTTCTTTGCAGTTTTTGCTGACATTGTAATGATTTTGTTTTTATTTCTACATTTCGGTTTACTCAGCAGCTGAAACAGCAGAGATATGGCGATGCTGTGGCAGATGTGCACTTTTCCATACTTGTTTACTCATATGGATTCTTTTGCCCCAACAATTGTGCCGATCTGCAAAACTCTGGACGACTGTGTCCCAGCGGGATAAGCATAACAATAGATAGCGCAATGTTGCAGCGCCTCAGACAGAGGTGCTTGTACAGATGGATTTTGGAACTGTGAAAACAGTTGTCTCTTCCTGAAACAAAAAAACTTATTTCGATTCGTCTTTAGCAAACTACCACCTGGCTGCCCTAATGTTTTTTCCATCCTCAGCTCTTGTTGCCATTCAAAACCTTTGAAGTCACTGGTCCCAATTTTCCGGTGAAGTTATTCAGGAAGAGTCTAATTATCTCACTGTGTTATTGCAGTGGGTCTCCAGGCCTCCTAAAAAACAGCCAGCAGCAATTAGGCAGGCGTCAGCTACTGAGCCCAGACACTGGCTGCCAGCTGTACAACTATAAACACCATTGGTGTCATAGTTTAAAAAAAACAATGTTTGTGGTTACGATGTACTTGTTACCAATTGCTTGCACAACTTCAAGCTATTTGTATTGGGAGCAACCTGTCCCAGACACAGGATATACAGCTTGTTCAAAATACCGCTCCATGCCAAATCCTATTGTTCTCTGAAAAACATTTTGAGCTTCGTGTCGGGTCAGTTAGATCATAAGAACTTTTTCAAATGAGAGAACGCCATTCAATCCATCTAGCTTATGCTGTCAGTAGCTACCCACATCCTGACAGAGGCAAGGATATCGACTTCAACATGGCTTGGGGAACATCTTCCGGACTCCCACAACCCTCGGTGTGTAAAAGTGCCACTTGTTCCCAGTTCTAAAGGCAATTCCCCCTGGTTTCCACCCCTTTAATGTAAATAATCTGCCTGGTACAACAGAGATGTGTTAATGCCATCTCATCAGGAATTGTGAAGCATGTTGAAAAACTGGTCCGCTGAGATCTTTAGCTTGATGAAGTCCAGAGAAAAGAAAACCACTGTTAGGAACACAAAAATGAATGGAATGTGCTGATGTGATGGTCTCCTCTCCTTCACATCTGTCTAGATGTGCTTGCTCTGTGAAAAACAGATAAGTGGGGAAAAATATCTGTGAAGGCTGGCTTGGAAGGCTGAGGGAAAAATACATCGGCCAATCTGGTATTACAGGTTGAGAGCTGTTTTCAAGACTCATTTTTAGCATGTGCTGTCTCACTGCATGTTTAATTAAACATTCGGTTAGATTCTTTCATTATAATTTTTCCTTTTTAGGTTACTTGCTGCAATTCAAAACTATTCCCTCACATTTAGTGTCTTTAAGAAAAAACAGTCCTTTTAAGAGCATTGGTTAGGAGCAAAGCACTGCGGCATGTTCACGCCTGAAAAACTTAATCTGTGTACCTTTTAGACACTTAACTGTGAAGGTGCTCTTCAGGAGATGTTGCACTGCAAAGCTGGGCAGGTAAAACAACATTGGCACCCACAAACAAAAGTACTGAAGAGGAAAACCAAAAAGTCATGCTAAGATAAAAAAGGCCTATCTCAAATAATTGCTCTCACGTCCAGCCCTAGAATAAGTATGGGCCATAAATCTTCCCTTCCTGGGGATTCATTGCTAAACATCCATTAACTACCCCCATTTCTGCCCTCACTGCCCGCCCTTATCTACTGGGGATTGTGGAGAATTTTTATCTGCCCATCCTCTGGCCTCAAAAAGATGCAGTCTCACTATAGAATGCTGTAGTTGCTTTCTGTTGTCCTGTAAAGATGATATTCATTTCTCCGTTTACTTCCTCTGTATTTTGTGGCAGCTGTTTTAGGAGAGCTGTACTCAGGAGTTTTTTTAGTTAACGTATTTCTACCTGAAAAAGAACATTAGGATTCTTGAGCTCAATAGTGCTACATAAGGCATAGTGACTAACAGATTTGTTTTTAAAACTGTTCTAACAGTTCTAACAGTTCTAACAACTGAAACACAGCTTTCCTTCATCCAGCCATACATTATCTAACTTCTTTATCCAATACAGGGTTCCAGGGTAGTTGGAGTTCAACCAGGCAAGTAATGGACGCAAGATAGGGGACACAAACACAGACACTCACACCAGGTCAGATTTTCCCAGAAGTCAATTAACCTGCCAGTATGTCTTGCATTATGGGAGGAAAACCCAGGGCCCCAGCACTGAGAGGCAGCAATACTTACCACTACACCGCTGTGCTGCTTTCCTTGATATTAATTGTAAAAAGGGAACTTATGGATACAATTTTTCTGTCAAAGGGGATTGAAGGCAACATTTCACAAGGATGAAAATACAACGTTTTTGAACATTTAAACATTCATTTAAAGACATTTTTTCACTTGTTTTATCTTTGAGGTGTATGAAACGATTTGCTTATATGAAAATATATCCAAGACC